TGGCACTCTGGGAACTGTTACTGGGCGATCTCACTGGCTTACCTCGGTGTTGACTTCGACTGGTCAGTGCGGTGGTCTAGAGGTCTGGCCTTCAAGCTGGCAGGCTGCTGTCGGCGGACTCCCCGTTTTGCACAGCTCGCTACCTTAAATGGACGAGCGGCGTCACATGTTGAGGCGGTGGGGAACCCAGCATGACCAAAAGAACACAGCGCTTCTCAAGCAAGCGATGCGTCTGCCGGCGCGGCAGTAGAGAATTGTTCACTCAAAGCAAGGTCACGCGCAAAATTAATAATTTATTTGTGGATTGAAAATAATATTATTGAAATATGCACCTAAACTCGCGGTACCTTTCAAAACAAAAACAAAAAATACGTAACGTTGTTATACACCCCCTCCTCTTCGGTGAAAATATTCATCCCTATAAATATTTTCTATAACTTACCCAGTAATTTTCAGCCTAAAAGGTCCCCTAAAACTCAAATAATGATATTATCTCTATGTAATAAACAATATCTGTACCCTATACGGTTCCCTAAGACACAAAAAAAAAAAAAAAAGATAATAAAAATTAAATTAGGACAATAATTCAAAATCAAAATCCTGTCTTACGTCTAGATGAGGCCCCTACTGGAGTGGGCTGGGCTGCGTCAAGGTCTACGTCGGCTGGAGGATCCTCAGGTGCCCCCTTGTACCTCCTCAGCTTGTGAAACAAAGTAACGGTGGTGCATATCACTCATGGCACCTTTGCCGGAGGATTTAAGTGCTTTGCCGGTTCATTAGTAGGGGCGCTTCGTCTAGAAGATGTCAAAGGCCATGGACTTGGTTCAGGGAGAGAAGCTGGTGTAGAATCCCGCCCTTTTCGTTCACTTTGAGAAGTCTGTGTGACCTCTTTGTCGGGTACAATGGCTGACTCCTGTGTACTGTCAGATACCGTCTTAACGGTTTTGCCCTGAGCGGTAGTAGTCGTTTTCCTGTCCTGCTCTACCACGGCTTCGTGCAACTCTGCTTCCAGGTCATCTATGCTGATGCATAGCTCCAAGGATGGACTATCCATAATTCGGAACAGTGATATTTAATCTGAAAAGAAATGATAATCAGGTAGTATATAGAGTGTGTCGGTGGTCAAAAGAAACTCTAGGAATGGCCCAAAAAAAAAAACCATGTATTCCTAAAGTAATATCACAGTACCGGTAAAATAAGTCGTATTCTCTCGAGTAACCTAAAAATCATAATTGAAGAAAAAGAAAGCAGATGGAAAGAAACTTATTTGAACGGTGGCGGCGGCGGAAGGGTAACGAACTTCAAGAAATCCGTAAAATCTCTGAAATCTCGCCGATACCGTTTCGTAGCTGGAAAAAGCGCAATCCTGAGTTCGCTTATACTTGATGAGACCGGCGATCTCAGCTTCAGTGCTGAATTACATTTCAGGTGGAGCATTAACAGGAGGAGGTGTTTCCAGGGTGTTAACAGGTCAATAACCCCTCCAATGAGGCGTATAATGTTTCGAAGTCGGTGTCCATGAGTGAATTCACGTCGGGGTCATCGGTCAGCGGTGTTTCTATTTCCCCCGGGTTCGCTGTGGCACTATGATTGCACACATCAAAGGGTCCTTATTCTTGAAACAGCGATATGCAACTAATAATATAAGTAACAAAGATGGAACACTCGTTCTCCTGTGACCGCTGCTCCCCTGTTTCAAGAATAGGAACCCTGGTGTTTATCCCGCCGGATAGAGGAGTTTTGGTGACCTCTTTCAAATCTGAAAACGGTGAGCTCATTTCAAGGTGAATGGATCTAGGGGTGGTGACAGGTTCGGCGGGACTAATTTCCAACCCCGTGGTTTCCCGTACATTCTTTGCAGATGCTACTAGCCTGGTCAGTAAGCTATTCGGCGAGACCTGCGTGGGGAAAATTGGAGTAAAGGATGACGCTGATAATTCTTATGGGGAGTCGGTTGCCCATGAGGGAGCTTATTGGAGATTTAGTTACTCTCTGACTGGGAGCACCCTCCGGTGAGTTCACTACGGTTGATTTGTCGCTGAACGATGTTTATGTGCTAGGCTATTTTCTTGGCTTCGGAGATCCGGTGATTTTTCTTTTTCCTGGCTCATTTTGCGTCAGCCTTCAAGTTAAAAGATCCGACGGAGGCTTTTGACCACGGGGAGGTGCATCTACTGGTCGGTGTTGTTTCGGCATTGCAATTGCTGAAACAGAAATTTACAGAATTTAAGATTCCGGCAAGGCCGGCTTAAGATCCTTTATATGGAGAAACTACTTTAATAACGGTATAGGTTCCGGAATACTTCGGAGCTAGTTTAGCGGCAAAACCCCTTGCGGCGGAGGATAGCGGATTCTCCTTTCGCATAACTTTATCCCCAACATGATATCGCCAGTCACGTCGGCGTAGATTGTAATTATGACTTTGGACCGTAAAAGCGCGACTGAGATTAACCTGGACTAACTCGTAGACTTCCTGTAGTCGTTTCAAGCAATCGGAATAAGCAGCGACCTCTGCAGGTGTTAGGTCGTCTGGGACGTCCTCTGCTTCTGAACTACGGTATAAAGCCTTCGGTGGGTCTATCTCTCGGCCTAAATTCAGATAATCTGGTGAAAATCCGGTTGAATCTTGTCTTGAACTGTTCAGAGCAAAGACTAGTTCGGACAGGTGTGCAACCAATTTACGGTGATTTTCCTCACAAAATTGAGCAATCATAATCTTTATGGTCTTGTTTGTACGTTCTACAGGATGTGCCTGCGGCGTGTAGACTGGAGTTAGGCGGTGGGCGATACCCATTTCCTGTAGAAGCTCTTTGCACGGTCAACCGGTACACTGAGTGACATTTTCAGTTAAAACGGTCCGTGGACACTCAAATTTAGTGATAACTTACTCAAAAAGGGCTTGACTGAAGGCTCGGGCAGTTGCTTGTCTAAACGGTCGGTATTCTACGCATTTTGTGAAACGGTCCTCGAACATAACTAACCAATTATTTCCCTTTGGGGATCGGAGTAATGGTCCTATCAGATCGGTAGTAATATTGGGCGTCGCCCAGGATTGTGAATTTCGGGATTGTTGCATTTTCCCTGGAGTCTTCTGCTGAGATGGCTTATAGCGTTAGCAGCATAAGCAGGCTTTGACATATCGGGCTATGTCTCTCATCATACCAGGCCAATAATAATTCCGACAAATTCTTGCGGTTGTTTTAGCAATACCTTCGGTATCCTGCCATAGGAGAGTCATGATTCTCCTGCAATATAGACATTCGGGCACTTTTGGGTACGCAAAGATTCCACGGATCGGATCTCGTTCTCTGTCGAATCGGACAGATCTCAGAAATGGTGGTATAATTGTACGTCTCGGATGCAAAAATCAGGAAATTCGGCAGGATTATTTTCCAGGGAGGCCACTCTCCAGACGGACCACCCGTGATGTCCGGATATCAACCAAGGGCCAAGAAAAAGGAGCAAGTATAAAACTATCTCTTACCACATTCTTACCTTACCTGAAACGCGGCGCGCGGCACTCTGGGAACTGTTACTGGGCGATCCCACTGACTTACATCGGTGTTGACTTCGACTGTTCGGCGCGGTGGTCTGGAGGTCAGGCCTTCAAGCTGGCTGGCTGCAAGGCTCGCTACCCTAAATGGGCAAGCGGCGTCACATGTTGAGGCGGTGGGGAAACCCAGCATGACCAAAAGACCACAGCGGTTCTCAAGCAAGCGATCGGTCTGCCGGCGCGGCGACAGAGAATCGTCCGCTCAAAGGAAGGTCACGCGCAAAATTATTAATATATTTCAGGATTGAAAATAATATTATTGAAATATGCACTCGAATTACTCGCGGTACATTTTAAAACAAAAGAAAAAATTACGTAACGTCGTTACAGTGTTGAGTGTTGTCTTCCGATTGGTTCGATGGTTACAGAACACAGTTAAGTATAAAAAAAACACGATACTGGTTTTCTTCAAGGGATTTGGTTCTCAAAAGGTCTCTTCTTTTGCAGACCGTTAATCAGGCAAGTCGATTTCCAGTTTGTAATTTTTTTTTCTTCAGATTTCTAGATTGTCCCTTAATATTTTTTCGATTTATTTCTCCATCAGTGTCTACTATCACTGTTGGGTTTTTATTACCCGATAAATCTTATCTACCTTCAAAATATAAATAATATTTTTTAATTTTTTATCTATTGTGAGCCTCCATTTTGTATAGTGCCACGTTTTTTCTGAGGACTCAATTCAGGTTTTTGGTCAATAAATAGGTATTGCTGCTTTGGTATTTAGATTTAATTGTTAGTGTAAGATTATTGGACCATTTTCTCTAAATAGAGTGGATGTAAACCGAATTTGTGTGTCCATCTTTTTACCGAATCCAGGCAGAAGTCTATCTGGCCAATTATTGTTTGACTCCCTTATTATCTTCTCGAGTAAGGAGAGTGGTTTCATTTGCACATCTTAAAGGGGCTTCATGTTTTGTTATTTATTTTTGAATTCCACCACCTTATAGGTTCTCTTGCTCTAAATTACAAAATAAGTAGTTTTATTTATAACATCATATAAAACGCAATTTTGTTACAAGACCACCCTAAGATTTAGGGAAGCTCCAAGGATCGAACGACTATAAATCTGCGCCTAAATGTTTTCCTAACTTGTGAGCCATCTTGTGTAGGTAATTCATCACGGTTCACCTACAACTGTCATGAGCAGTATTTATTATGTTTATAACTTTTTTGTTTCCATTTTAGTTTCAATTATTGGTACGAATGTGTTTGCGAATTCAATAGGTAACGACCACTATTTGTTGTAATTTATGATCGCCCAAATGTGCTTCATTAATCACGAGCATTTTACATTGAATAAAATATATGCACAGAGATTACCTTTTCGGCGATAGCATATCAAAATTTGTGAAACATGTTGCGGTTGAAAGGAGTATCATTACTCGTAGCATAAGCCTAATAAATAAATTAATTTCGTAATTAACATCCTGGTTTTAAATATTTTTAGCAATTGGAGCATTAGTACTTATTATTTGGAGTTTTCTAATTTGCGGAGCGCCATGTGGCTGCGATGTAACTTCAAAAACTATTCCTCTACTAATATTAGGAATTAGTTTATCTTGCTTGATATCCCCAATAATATGGGCTTTAGGTAATTGAATGATTGAGAATGTATATTTTTGGTGTTGAAGTACTTTATTTTAGGAACTGTAACTCTTTTGTTAGGTGGACATGGTCGATCCTTTATATGTCATCCATTATACGATCATCCCAACTATGGAATATTAGGCGAGTTTTTGGATAGAGGAGGAATTTTATACGAGGAACCTGAATTCTTCTTCGATTTTTCCAGTGAAAATGATTCAGTTAAAATAGCCAATGTCTTAAAGTAAGTTTTCACCTATATTCTCACTTTGTTAAATTGCTTGGTCTGCTTAAAAAAAACTCATTTAAGTAATAAGTTTCAATCATTGTTCAATTTTTTCAGCGGGTGCCAACGAGATCAAACAGCTTATCAAACATTTCACATCCAAAATAAGTTCCCCTTAAACAAGAAACTTAATTACAAGACGTGGGACGACCTAAACACACTTATGAATAACTTTACTAAGGCAAAGTTCGAGGTTGAGATATTAAGCACCAGCTTGCAAATTAATTTGCAAGTAAGTACAATTTATGCTACAAACAATTTTTTAAATTGGTGTGTTGTCATATAACTATATAGTAAAGATTGATTTTTTTATTTTATTTTTCAAGTGGAAACGTTTCATTATGAATTGCTTTTTTCCAAAAGAGTTTCCAAGGCTTTTAATATTTGGAAACGAATATTTTAGAAACTTCATAAGCATTTTATGTTTTTAGAAATTGAGTTTAGCTTCAGCTGCAAATCTGACCGACTACAGGTTACAAATATCATCGAGTATAAGCCGATGGGATTTGGCATCTTTTTCAGATCAACTTAACTCTGTTGGAAGGCAACTGGAGGATACTGTTATTATAAGAAAAATGGATAATCTGGTGAGATTTTAATATTTCTTGAATCCTTGAAAAATCTCGTTTTTCCTCAGCTGTAACTGTAAATCTTGACCATACATTTATATTGAACTTTCAATAAGTTGTGAGTTTGGAGTTTAAGTGAAAAATATTTTAATAAAATATAATTTATGAACTTTATTTTAAATTGCTAAAATATGTTATACAGACTGACTTTTTCAATACAATCTGCAATTTTATCGAATTTAATTGTCAACAAAATAAAATTATTTATAATTTGGCCGTTTTATAACTAGTTTATTGATCAAAATTTGTTTCGTGTCCTCTTTCATAAATTTAATAATTCCCGCAATCCGGCGCAATTTCAAAGAGGCACGCTTCACTTCACTTCACTTGCGTTAAAGCTTGCGGTAGCTACTCAGTTTGAAAATAAATAAAAGCTGCTAACCAATTGCTACTGAGAATTTAATTAAATGAGTTTCCTATAAAAAAATATTTACAAATTTTTCCACAAAGAAATTTCAAGTTATTCAAAGCTCGAGCATATCTGCCTCCTTTCTAGGTGACTAGTTAATCTAAACTTTTTGCGTTGCTAAAATACGTCACAGTATTTCATTATATTATGGCTTCGGTTCCGATGACAAATTACCCTCTGGCCGAAGGCGCTGGATTTCAATTTTCTCTTTTTGCCATCTTGTTATCTATATAGTTAAATGTCGTTGGTTGGTTCCTTTTCAGGCCTTTTCTATGCGGAAACTTGTTCAAACTGAAATGCAGAGATTAAACGACCTCAGGGGACGGATTCTATACAAAATAACTTCGTTAGAAGTATTGCTGCCCACGTTGAATGCGCAAGTCAATCAATCACTGTCTCAACTAGAAACTATACAGATTTTTTTGGATAATCAAGGATCAGAGATATCCCAGAAGGTATTTTTTTTATTATGCTATTTAATATACAGGATGTCCCACGACGTTTTTCCCAGGTTATTTCGGAACGCGTCATCCAATATAATTAAAGTTTTGAGGATCTGGGTAACTTTTTGTGCCGCTTCTACCATTGTCATCCAATTGCACCACTTTCGCTTCAATTTCAGTCAACTGACGTCAACTTTCGATTCTTAAATTTAACTCATGGTATATTATGGCATTTTTCATTAGAAAATTAAATTACAAAGTAGGCAATGCCATATTTGTTTAGGCTTTGTTAAAGAAAATGATAAAAAATTATACAATGGAACATACGATGATGCGTTTCGAAGTTATCATTTCGGAAAAGCCTCGTGGGACACCCATACTAACCCAAAGTAACTCAAACTTACCAATACTAACCCAAACTTACCAATACCAACCCAAATTGATGTATAATGATAGGTTTCTTCAATACCTAACTTGCACCTTTCAGTTTACAAACTTTTAAACTAAAAACGGACCTACAGGTTATTGCAGTGTCCGATGCCGCCGATATTTTATTCACAATCAACAAACATAATATTTAGATGAAAGTGAGCAAAATAGTTTCTGGAATAACGCCGTTTTGGAAATATCACGAACCACCTGCATGCTTTATCGACCACACATTTATAAACTCTGGCGTCAAACAACGCATGAGTAATGTTGAACTCTACTTCTATAATTTTAAGTAAACTTGAACTAATATTGCCTGCTGCCTTTTATATTAGACACTTTAAGTTGGACCAAACACGTTAACGTAATCTTTAAACGTAAACCTTATTTTTTACTATAGCGTTGAGTAACCGTCGGTGCTCACAAATCAGTTTAAGTTAAATTTTCACGTAAACGTTAACGTTATATCTCACAATCATGACCTAACCTTTAAATTTTGTTGTGGAAAGGACAAATTAAAAATTATTTTTTGTATTTTGATTATTTTGAATTACATGACACCTTTTTTTTAAGGTTAAAATACATTCGGCGAAGGTCGACATCGGCAATCTGGCTTTCGGGCCCACTGGGTTTAACGAACGTTTACGAATAAGGTACACGCAATGACCCGCTAAATAACGTGACACGAAACACGCTATTTTTGGTGAAAATAAACTGCGCATGCGCAGCTGTCAAATCTTACGTTAGCGTTAACGTATTTTGTCTAACTTAAAGTGTCTGTTATCTCTAATTAGCTACCGCACCTTCAGTGTCAGTTAGTAAGAACTTTCCATTTATTTCTCAAACATATCTTTTTAAAGGTTAAAATAGATTTAGTTTCAGTGGAAATAAATAATTTTTAAAAAACCTATCTAAAGTTATTAATTTATAACTGGCGCAGTCGGTAGGATAATGAAGACTCGATACATCACTAATTAGTTTATCGTCAGACAGAATGCAAAAATTACAGCATTCGAAGCCTTAGGAAATTAAAAAAAGGACACAAAAACTTTATTGGTGAGATTAAGAAGTAGAGAAAAACCAGTAGGTACAGAAAAAAAGCAGAATCTGTACGTATAATACTTATCTGGGAGGTAAAAGATACTGAGAGAAATTTGGAGAATACTGAAAAACATCAGGACAACAGAAAAAAAGGATATTTCTATAATAATACCTCAGCAAGGAGAAGGGTATTTCGGAGAATTACTAACAGAACAACGGAGAGAATTTGAAGAAGGAAGAGAACAGAGAACAGACCCAAAACATAAAAAGCGCAGGATCACCAATAAGAAGTATGAAGGAAGAAGTTGAAAAACAGTGTAGCTTTTTGAAAAATGGAAGAGTGCCAGGCTCAGGAGAAATTAACGGGGAATATATGAATTATGCGAGCAATAAACTCAACACACACCTTACAGAACTATTTCCAACATAGATAGACATGAAGTAGGTACCTACCGAAAGAGTGGGAAATAAACCATTTAACAGCAATACATAAGAAAGGAGACAGAAAAAAGTTACAAAAACCACCGGGACATTGCAATGACAAATACAAGAAGGGTCAATACAATCAATCAATACAAAAACTTCCAATACCCTTCAATGATTAAACCTTCACTCAAATTCAACAAACTAGACAAAACAATAATACTTCATGATCAATAGACATTTTAATTGAATGTTTTCAATACTTCTAATGATTAATACTTTTGCTCAAAAATCATAAACTTAGACAGAACAATACTATTTCAAATCAACATTACACATTTTATTTAAATTCTTTTAATTAGCTATGGCCAATAATATTCAACAGTCGAATAATAATTCAAAAATTTTCAGTAATTTCATTCCAATAATCGGCAATTGTCATGTGCATTATATTTTCCTATTAATTCTGTAAGCAAAAATATTGAAAAGTAATTTCATTCAAAGTCGATTAAATCCTTCATTAATAATGTGCTATGCTAAAAAAAAATAATAAAAAATAATTAAAAAAAAAAAATAAAAAAAAAATAAATAAAATTTAATGAAAAACTTGAGATTGTAGGACTGAAGGTCGAAATGCATGCAAATTATGCCGTAGCTCTCAGCTCAGAATTAAACAATTCGGAAAGTAGGGGTGGGGTTTATTTTGGGCGCCACCGACTCTGGACAGATGAATCGGATTCTCCAGGATGTTATCTGGCTCCAGGTCCTTACAATTCAAATTAAAATAATAATAATAATAATATTCAAGATAGGTTAAAACCAGGCTATTTGCATAAAACCAAATAAAAGTCAATATAGTTCAAGTGCTACAGTCAGTTTATTTACCAAATGTGGCTACAGTCCACAATGAAACAATATCGAGCTATTAATTTAAAAAAAAAATAATAATAATAATCAAGTAAATTATCAATATTATCAGAGAGTGAAAAACTAATTAAGAAAAAGAACAATCACTTGAGCTGTCATTAACCAATAAATGAAGTGACCTTTTGATGAAGCGTCAATCAACAAATACAGTACGGTACTATTGAAATAATAGCTATAGTCATAAACAATTGAATTAAATGTGAAAAAATCTCCTGAGTAATAAAAAAAATATGTAAGGGTTGAAGATATAAAATATAAAGCCGGTCCCAGACGCTACATGTATTCGGCGAATAGGCGAATATTCGTCATTCGCACGAATCTTTGCCTGTTCTCTCACACCACGTGGTGCTATGGCGAAAGCTTGGCTTGAAAATTGTTTGGCGAAGTTTCGAAGCAGAGGGCCGTCGATTTTCAGTGGCGTTTCATGCATGACGTTTGTTTAGTTCAAATGGACAGTGATGAAGAGCAGATTGTTGCCGCCGCTACTTGTTTCATTTTCAGCAGGTATCTTTGGGTTCCAAATGACAGGTTCATTTTCAAATAATTGTAAAAATTCTAACGTTAATTGATCGGTCCACTCTATTTCTTATTTTAATTAAAAATAACTAAAAATGCAACAATCAACCTTGCGGCACTGCACACCGCTATAAGCTGACAAAGCACTATGCATATACCCCCGACGCGTCTGGGAGCAGTGCGAAGTCACACGTAGTGGACTTCGCCTCTACTTCGCCTTCCTTTGCTTCGTGCCAGTTTACCGACAATTGGCGGGAAAATGGCGCAGGACGAATATTCGCCAAAGTTACCTTCCCACACGCTACGCGAATAAGCCCGAATACCAAATATTCGCCGAATACACGTAATGTCTGGGACCGGTTTAAGAAATAGGAAAAACAATAAATAAAGAATTAGTTCTCGGAGCGGTTATCTTACACTGATGTAACCAGAACTACAAGTAAGTTGACATAAGTAACAACTGAATCAGGTTATGTCTAGCTAAATTACCTATATTAATAATTCATTTGCCACATTGGGACAAGCACTGAATTACTCCCTGAAATACCTTAGTGATCACTGTGGCGTACAAAATAGGGACAGAATGTAAATAAACAATAAAATATAGATGGGATAATTAAAGCTAGTACGATACCAAAATGTTCCAGGTGGTAGTAGTAGATACAATTAACAAGATTAGTCCTGGCTACTGGTTGTGATTAGATGGTCAAACCAATCTTACGGTTCAAATTTACAGTCTGGAAGGCTTGTATAACCGTCCAACTAGAAGGTTTAGGCTGGCGTTTGATAGCCTTATAGTTCAGTCTCGGTTACGATTGAACGTGTATTGTTGTGTCACAATGTAACCGTGAGTAAAAACCCTAAGAGAAAAATTGTTATAACACACTGTATTTGTAATTGAACCATAGCACTTTATGAATAGACAGAATTAGAAAATGAAACTAAAATGCAACTAAGTTAGTCCAAAATAGCAAATTTACTTGATAAAAGAAAAACGATAGCTCTTGAAAATTATTTTAATAGAAAAATTGAATAATAATGTATTTATGATAATAATTAATTAAATTAGATAAAATCATATGAGGCTTAAATAGTAAGTTAAGAAAATGTGCCTCGAGTTTGCAAAGAAAATTTGAAGATATTACTTGTTGGAAATAGGGTTTTGTTTGCCTCGAAAATACTCTGGAAGTCTGGATCGAGGTCTGGATTCGATATCCGGAAGTGAGTGAGATGATCTTTACTCTTCAGGGCAGCTTTTCACTAATGATTAAATGGAAAAAGTCAGAATCTACTGAGGGAAAAACCGTGCACAGCAAAACTTACCGAAATGGTTGTTTTCAAATCCGATTAGATCGGCAAAAATTATAGCAATTTACCTAAATTAAACACAACGTAAGAAAACTCAATGTGCCATAAATTCAATTAATGAGAGAATTAGGTCCAAAATCCCTTTTTAGGGCAAAGAAAAAAATTAAATTCTTCAAGAGACCTTATCTCTAAAGAGTCGTTGAGTGAAAGAGAGATTTCGATTTCCCACAAATCTTTAAATATCTGTCCTAGATTTGAAGGATGGACAAATGGCAGAATTTCGACATACGTCAAAAATTAATCGATACTATCGATTCGATAGTATTCCCACGCACCAAAAATGGCACACAACACCATAATCAGAGAGAAATCACAACAGCCGAAGACTAATGATAATAACAACAAGGAATTATCCAATAGAACAATCATAATTTGAAGAATAAGACATGGAGTAAAATAGGGAGCAATCCGGTGGTGTATGGAACCAATGATTGAACCGGGTGCAGAACTAGATCTGGCAATGAGAACAGTAGTCGAACAGAGTCGTTCGGTACATACACTTTCAAAACCGATTATATTATGATTTGGGAACATAACTCTAAAAATAATGGATTTATTTAAATGCAAATTGAATTTTAAATTGGAATTAAAATATTGATTAAAATCAATGAAAATAGAATTTAAATATTGAAAATTAGAAAATGTACAGGATCTGCAACTGCTGTAATTATTGTTGGAAATTTATAGGGAAAAAATGTTAACAAATTTAAAGTAAATTTTTAATAGAAAACTGAAAATAGGTAAGATCTAGTTAGGCAATTTTGGCTTGTTACAAATGTTCCATAGTCAATTCACTTTACATCATAGTCATTTCAATAAATGGTTAAATGTCTCAAAACTTTTCTAAGTGTACTTACACTAAACTATTCTAAAATAAATCTTCCGATCATTTAGAGCTCGTCCATAATGTTGAAAGAATTTAAATGTGCTTTCTTTTACGAATTCTTTACTTTTTCAAATTTTTCGCGGACAAGATGCGAATTACCGCGTTTTTCGAGGCATCAAAATGAAAGAAACTATCCGCGAATTTTTATCTGGACTGGACTCTATATTGATGTTCTAGACCTAGATCTAGGCTCTTTTGTCTTCAGTAGACCATTGGCATTTTATTCTTGATTCGTCAGCTGCAAACTGCACAAGATACTTTTTCAAAGTGTTCTTGTTTGGACACCTTCTACAAATACTACGAAATATTCTATTGTATTCTTTGTTATTTTATATAATTATAACCTAAATTGATGATTATTATGTAGATTCACCCGTCACCTAAGGAGTCACCCCAAAAAAATAGCGTTTTTATTTAAGATTTAATTTTTTCAAATCGACTTAATGAAAGACATGAAACTAGAAGTTAATGAATCAAAAAGAGGAAAGCCAGATCCCTTGAAGAACTTTTACCAGCAACCCAAATATATCAGGAAGAAATGAACAACAAACCTATAGACTAGGGTCCATAGGTGACGCAAATTCCCAGTTTCTCTTTGGTGAAGCAGCAGTTGTATAATGCAAGACATACCTACATCTCTTGGCATTAGAAGTTTAAAGATTTTTTTTTTTTATTTGACAATAAATCGGATGACACAATACTTATATTCGATGATGAATGTGGACATATACTGGAGAATGGTAGAATTTTTTGGAGACAGAAAATTATAAAATTTTCCTTCTTCTTTGAACCATAGTTATTATTGTTATTGAATATTGTTATGAAATTGCCTAGAGCGCCCGGCAGGATTCTGAGAAATTACTTGTTTACGTCGGGCAGCGCGTCTTTTCTGACTATTGCGATAATTGCAGAGCGATTATCGCGGGACGATAATCGCGGAGTCTTGCTTGTACGTTTTGTGAATTGTTTCGTTTTTCTCCAAGCGACCATGGCTAGAGTCGCTAGCGTCAATCGCGCGTGTCTGGTCTTAGAGCAAATATATTCGCCAGTTGCGAACGATTATTGATAGGTGGTGCATGTGTTTTCGTGCAATATCTCAACCAAAACTCAATATTTCTTCTGAAGTCTGAAAGACTCTGAAAACTTTTTGTCGTCACCAGTGATCACAAGTGATTTGCAATCAATACTTTGAAGTACCCTTCAACCATACTTCTTTTAAAGATGGGATATTTAGGAAGTCTTGGCAAACTCAAAAATTCTAACATATCTTCATCGAAAATTTCTTCCAGAAAAAGATATCTCAACGACGGTGTTTTACTTTTCTTACTAATCTTACTTTTTGTCACACTCATGACGACTCTCACTGTGTCTACAAGTAAAGTTGACAGCCTACTAACAGAAATTTCAGCCACAGAATATATTTTAGGAGACCGTTGATAGAATAGTGAATAGTCGCTGCCAAGCAAAACGCTTCAGCTAGCGATCAACGTAGCAATTATCGCCTCGCGACTATCGCTCTGCAAACATCGCAATAGTCGCGCCAAGTAAAACCTACCTTTATTGGATTCGAGGTTTTTCTGGATAGTGCGATTTTGAATATAAATAGCGCGTAGCAAAAAGTTTCAGTTTCTTCCAATTCGAGATTTGTTGTCTACACGTTTCGAAGTGATAGTGAATTTTGTAGAAAGTCAATTTGTTTGACAAAAGTTGTTACCTAATGTTTGTGAAGTAAGTTTTTAGTGAACCCGAAATCCGGGACAATATTCATATGAACATTGGTAGTAGAGAAGAAAAAACTTGCGTTGGGCCAATGCTCTATTACCAAACACAAAACAAGTGCCATACACAGGGTAATTCACAATATTAAAAAAAAAAAAAACCAATTCAATTAGGAGAGTTCCGTCTTGATTCTGAGAAGGCTGCGATAAATGTAATGAACAATCTGAGATTTGAAAATCTAAGGATGCAACTTTCATTCCAACTAAGCCCACTGGCGAAAGGCTCAACAACTGGGACTTGTGATGGATTATTCACCAGAGTGAAAAGTGATGAAATTTAATGATTTTTTTTCTAGCTGTTTGTAAATTTTTATTTTTATATTATGTCTATTAAAGTTTGAAACTTTTTGTTTCGCCAGACCTAAGCTTGGATGAGATGTGAAGGCAAGTGACCATACTGTAACGTTTTAAATTACTTTGGATTGAAAGAATTTTATTGCTTACGGCAGCTGTTCATCAGAAAGCATTTCTGGTCGTGTATAAGGAGTGTTTACTGAGGGCGCACGAAGTTTTTATTATTAGGTCTCAAACCTTTAAAGTTTAAATAGACCTAAATATTATACATGAAATATAATATATGAAGAAAAAGTAATCGGCAACACTCTCCACTTAATTATGTTTAATGAAACTCAAGTGTAAAATTACAATATCTAGGATATCAATTTAATGAGAATCATAAATGTAAGAATAATTAGATTCCAACCCAGTACCAACTTTTACTGAAAATTATGTGTGAAATTATAATAATGATCGATCATTTTTTATGCTTTCGGACCCTCTCTAGTGGTCTATCTGCCCTTTAAACTCATATGCTCAACTGGACAGTGAACTGAACATAGAAATGAGACATTCCAAATAACAGGCGATGCTCAATAAGAAAATGTACAATATAAAAGGACCTCGTTGGGTCTATCTGCTCTGAAATTTCATATGCTCGATCGAATAGCGAGATGAGCATAGAAATGAAACATTCCAATTAGGTAAATGCTCAATAAGAAATATAAGAGAGCTTCGTTGGATCTATCTGCTCTGAAATTTCATGTGCTCAGCCGAACAGTGAACTGAACATAGAAATGAGACATTCCAATTAGGTAATGCTCAATAAAAAATATAATATAAAGGGTAAAATTTAAATGTAAAGACACCTGTGGTCACTAATCAGGAACCATGAAAGTGACCTCACAAGTAGGAGCACGTGAAGTTTAGGGAGGCATACCTTCTTTAGTGAATGGGACCAATACTATGCCTGGATGTAGGACCCTATCAGAAAACTAAGTTACTGATAGTCTCTTTTTATTTCAAGAAAGGTCTACTGAATAAGTTTTAAAAAAAAGTACATAACTCACCATGAACAAGCGACTCCTCGTATAACATGATTCAGTACACTACACAATACAGGCACTGGCATCACCAGAGGTGGTTGCTGGAGGCTGGAGAACTAATCATAAGCTTAGGGGATGTTCAAGATAGAAAAGAATTTGTCACATACCTGGCATATTCCAAAAAAATCACAAAAAAGATCTCCGAGTAGACGAATTAAACTATTTAGTCTGAATCAAAGACACACGAATTTGGAGGATTCGCCCCTTCAGAAGAGTCGCCCATTCTCAAGCAAGATCGTGCGCAATTTAAATAATTGTCACATTTAAATTTGCATCAAGGTATTTGATTTTTTAGTTTGTTACCTTTTGATTATGAGAACTGAAAACAGCTGATTCGCATCTTCGGTAAGCATTTGGTTGCTGATCATCGTCTTCTTAAGTAAAATTTGCTACTGGGTAAATTATTTCCAAATGCGGATGACATTGTAGGCCAATATTTGGAATCATTTCATTCGCCTATGTAGTGTATTGGAAATTTCAATAAGAGAGTAACTAGAAAAATCGACCGGCAAGAAAAGGACTTGGAGAAGCTAACTCTTTTGTATAATTTTAAGTAATCAACTTTATTTCTACTAAATTCATTTTATATCTCTTTACCTCGCTTTCGCACCTTCAGTGCCAGCTAGCTTCTTTGAATTTGCTTCCTAAACTCATAAAGTTAAACGTAAAATTAGATTAGTTTTCAAAAATTTAATTAAAAGCCATTCATTTATAACTATCATCAGCCGATAAAACTTGTAAAAAGTGTTGCATATAAACATTGTATACAAGTACTGTCTCCAACAATAAAAGGGCTTTAGACAAAAATACTCGTCACAGGGTCATTATGGTTTTTGTCGAATAAATGCATCAACCAGACAGGAAGGGTTTGGTTTTGTCATGCCCCAAGATAAACAACACATTAGGAAACAAATGAATTCTCCTAAAAAAAATTAATTACCCAATTACAAATTTAAGCAGAATTATGACCCGAATAAAACCTTTAACATTCAAATTTATAAAAGCCGCAATCCCTTTCGGTAAACGTTGACGTGATAAATCAATGTCAACGTTATTTGCCTCTTTTCCGGGATAATCAAAAGGACCAGGAACCGTTTTCGCACTAAATCATTTTCTTTTGTAAAAGCTCCATTCTTCTAAATTAGGTTAAATTCGCTTTGGCCACGTCGCATCTTATTCTATCCTTGAGAAATCGTTAGGTTTTTCTTTTGTTGGGTTTTTTGGTTCTATTTTCATGAAGGATGACGTTTGAAGAAAAAGAGAATATGATTCTGTTAAATGAACTCTCACCACTTTATATATTTCTTACAACATTATGTATATGTACTTGAATAAATCAAACATCAAAAATATGTTCAAATTTTTTTCTTATTCTGACACATTACAGAACGCCACTATCGTACACTAACTACATCATTTAACTTGAAATTTATGTGCAGCTATAAATTTACTCAGTTTCATCTTACGTGAGGAAGTTTATTGTTTGGGACACGTTTGCTTGGGAATCTTCATTAAGTTTGCATTTTTATATTTTTAGACTGATTTACTTTATGTTAAAAATATATCTGGATCTGTTGCTTTTTCTTTTCTACCTTAGAGTGATACATTATGATTTAATTATATGTTATTCGCATATCAATTATTCTCAAGAGAAAAACTTGTGGTACGTTGAACAAGTCTTTCCTGTAATCCTTTGAAAATGCAATTTAGCCGTCTTATTCTATGAGGTATGAGATCAACCAGACGACATTGTACTGGCTGTCGCGGATTACGATCTCCCGTCTGTATTTTTCTGTCTTATTATTTTCAATTTTTCCTCAAAATGCCATTTTTGTGTTTTTATTAAAATTTTGAAAGCATTTATCACATTGTCATGTAATGGTTATTTCTTCACGGGAGGATATTGATATAGGAATCCATCCATTATTAATAATGTAATTCTTCGATAGCCGGCTAACGGACGTTAGAAAAAAGCTGCCTTTACGATACAGTGACACCAGAAGCCCTCTAGGGATGGAGCAGTTTTTAGGTCGTTGCTGTATACTTTGGAGCTTTTCCATAAAGCGGCGTCTTTTGATTAGAAAAATCCGTTTCCTATAAACAAATTGTAGTAATTTGAGACAGTCTTCAATACTACCAGAATTAAACAAATAAAATAGTGGTATTGAAGATATCCTATTCAGATATTTGAATACACGTCATGTATAAAACCGATATATAAGAGGTTTTTTCTAGAAAAGCTTTTTGCAGGTCAAGAGACAATTCACAGATCGAATTGAAAATCACTTAGAAGAACTTTATAGCTACACTACAAAAAAGGTAACTAAGGAGATCGGAAAATGTCGACCGATTTGGGAAATATTTCACGCCGGAAGGTTTCACGTCTGCAAATTGATTTTTGATCCCTTGGTAAGTATTCAATCCCTTGAAGTGTTTATCCTTTGATATAACAGGTTTATTTGGAAAATCACCATAATAAAACCATTCCGGTTTTTCTTGGGGCCCTAATGGCAAGAGCTACAAGGCGCTAAAGTTTAAAAACTCTTTTCCTAAATCTCAGTTCAATAATAAAGTTTTTCTTTGTTACAGAACGCTATTGCATTTGCAAGTTTCTTTTTGATACTTGTTTTTATTGCAACAACTCCAATTGTCGTCAAATTGATCGACATTTACCAAGAAGGTAGTAGAGAAGGTGGATTTAGTTACTCACATCGGTACGTGACTTTGCATTAACAAGTAATACCTAGCCATATTGAAATTGTTTTTTATAGTTTGGCTTATTCTATTATAATTTAAGTAGATATTTGAATTTTTCAAAAAAGTAATTTTATATAATTTTCTAAGTGAATCTCGTGCTGGGTTGCTATCTGATGACGACCGAATTTGGACGTCGCCTTCATCAGGGTAAATAGAGAAATATTACAATAGAATTATTACTTAGTTTTTTCTAGTAGTTCCCTCGAAGAGCGAGAAATGATCAATACCCTACCAACAACATGGATCAGTCCTCCACCTAGGTGGGAAATATCTTTTACCATAATTGCATAATATACCTATTATGTTTTTTTTTCCAGACCACCTACAGTTGCTTCGCATGTCCAGCCTACCAGGTATTGGGTATTCATAACTATTTTAGCTCATAGAAATCTATATAACAATAGGGGGTTGCTCGACCCGACCAAAATATGAAAGAGTTCTTCGTAGAATCCTAGCTTATTCCAAATTGTGTTTTTGTAGTTTTTTTTGTAGCATCCGCGCCAAGTACTCTATTATTTAGGTTAGATGGTAAATTGCAAGCGGTCGTATTTGATGGTAATTTTTTCCTTGGGCAGCTACTGTAAAATTAAAATTATTGTGGGGGCGGGTCTATTTACAAGTGAGAGAAACAACTGATGTACGATTATCCATCAATAAATTAATATACTTTATATAAATGAGAAAATAAACAGAGCTTTTCCAACTACAATGGTACAATTTTAAACTCTAATCCAACACCTTTCTAAAACAAAAATAAATAATTCTAAATGATGCTAACTTACAGCCACCTCTATACTGTTTCTGAGCTTGTAAATAAAATGTTGGAATTACAATATTTTTAACCAAAACTCCTACACATCAAAACATTACAATATTTAAAACGTTCAATTCTAAGCATATAGAAACCCCTGATTTCACTTACTGTCAAATTCGTACAAAACTGTACTAAATATTGAAACCTCAGCCAGAGTGAATACTATTACAAATCATCAATCATGTTAAATAATTCTTTACGATCCACACAGACATTAGATTCAAATTCTTAGAGTTCAAAATATTCATTAATTCAATGTTCATTAAGTCTCTTCATTAGACAGAGCTCAATGATTCAATAGCCATTGAAATTTCCTAGTTATACTAAAGCAAACAAAAAAAGAAAGTATTCAAAAGTTTACTCAAGTTAATAACATATTTGCGAAGTCCCATTGTCAATTCACCTTCTTCATAGCATTTTAATTATTGATTAAGTCAAATAAACATGTCACCAGAGTACTTACTTTCCGTCCTTAAAACACTAAACTAATCTAAAATAATTCTTTTGATTTTTTAGAGCTCGCACATAATGTTGAACGAATTTTTATTGATCTTTCTTCACGACTTCTTTACTTTCTCCAAAATATTCGATTTAGCGCGTTTTCTCGAAGCAACAAAATAAGAGAAACTCTTCGCGAATTTTATCCGGACTGACTCATTAATCTTACTGTAGACTCAAGACTCGAGACTCTAAGCTGAAATCATCTGGAGTCGTTCCGAAACCGCTGTTTTTATATTTTTCGATCCCCCAAAAAAATTTTCTTTCAAAAACCTTCCTCTTTTCTAAGAAATATAATTATTTGTTTAAAACCGAATACCTATTTCGCAATTTCCTGGATTATCGGGTTCAACAGATTTGAAAGAATGTGAGGACTAATAGGTAACTCAAACGATGCCGTTTATGAAATTTGCCACTTAGTCACCAATTTATTTACTTTGGCCTTGTTTTTAATCTTTCCCTGGTTCTGATTTATGAGTTCAATTTGATGACACGCGCTTGATGACTAGCTATTGAAGTTTTGAACGTACTTTAAATATTTCAATTAATTTGGGTCAATGCTAATTTGCTCCATTATTTTTCAAATTTTATTGTTACTGAAGATGGAGATTCAATTTTAGATTATTTGATTACATTTAATTTTCACTGTTTTTGTATTTTCAAGTCCTTATAAATTACGGGTCTATTTTTCCCGAGTCATTACATATTCAATAAAAAGTTTCAAATCGGCACTCTGTCACAGTACCTACTTATTTGTTTTAGAAATCCACAACCACCCACTATTACCTATACCCGATCGTCGCCCAGGCCAAGAAGGTAAATATATATTTTTCTTTATTTTGCTTTTTGAGGATTGTCATTTTAAAATAAAGATAAACTTTTCATAGAGTAAGCATAACTTCAACTATTAAATTGATGTTTAGATAGAAGCTACAAAGGCTTTTACAAATAAATCATATTTTGCACGTTTCTTTCATAAAATTGGGTTTCGTTTTAGCAAGCTCTCAGGCCTCGCCTCCAGAATAACCGGCGCCAGGTGAGCCTTCTATCTAATTTCTCCTTTTGCTTTTTCAAACAATAACAATAAGTCTCTGTTATATCCTGCGTTTGGATCACTGACATCGTTTGTCCTGGAGAAAAATTTTGTTTTCTTTTCTGTTCTTTAAATTCTGAAAGTATAAATTGTTGGAAAACTCACACATACACAAGTAAAAAGTTAAGTTCTCCTTAATAATAACACATATCTCAAAAACTTTTATTTGTTTTTAGATCCAAGACACCCCAAAGGTAAATTAATTATTTATATTTTCATCAGGGTAAGTTTTTCTGTAAAAACCTCTATCCTCTGGTAGGTTAATTTTGTTATCGTATATAAGTACACATGGTAATATTGATGCTTTATTTTCTGAGGCATTTTATAAGTAACTATAATTTATTTGTAATAATATTTATTTACTTAACAGGCGTGAGACTCTTAGAGAAACACTTAGATTAATTGAGCCTATACACTGGAAATCGGGGTAAGTTCTAGTTCACAGTAAAATTAAATTATAAAATCTGTAAGAAATAAGCAATAGCCGTGGGAATAGTAGAAGAATCTACGTTCTTTTGAAAAATTATATTCAGCTTGAATAAATATTTTTTAGTCTTGCATACTTCGAATTACCATCTCATACCCATATGGAAAATGATTACTAGCCTTGTATCCTTATCATCAGGACTCATTTCATTTATTTAGCTTTGCTCAGACGACGGCAAGACGTCTATTTATTTATAATTTGTCTTATTGAATTTATTTAGTTCATACTAGGAAAATAAAATTTAACTTGAAATTCAACCAATCAAAAGAATTAAAAAATGTTAACAAACTTATTCTGTCATAGGTATTATGAATACTTTATTTTCAGATCAACGACGCCTAGGAGCTGGATATGAAATATTTTTACTAAATTAGCTCATAAGATATTTTACTTCTCGATTTAAACCACTTTTTAATATTTAAATAAAAAATATACAAACTCATTACCTACCTACTTAAGTAATACATAATAACAAACTATGATACCCACAAACAATATTTATTTTTTCACCATATTCTCAAGATTTTGTTTATTTTCAATATATTTACTGGATGAAACGTAAATGTAAATGTGAACATTATAAAATTGAAATAAAATTATTCAAATTTACTTCAAGCAATTTATTGGGCCTGAGTTAACTACCCCCTGTAGGTATTGATTAAAACAATTATTGGTAGCACAAATATTCCAAAAACCTGTTTGAGCTTTAAAATCTCAAATCACCTCTTCATAACGCAAGTTCTTACAAAGACAGCGTTATGCCAATCTGGCGGACTCTATGGTTCCCGATAACAACCGAACAGTAGGTACGATTGCCGTATCTGTCGTGCTATAATAACGACGCGACCTAAATAGTTCGCTATCCTTTTTTGTTTTCTGTCGTTCCTTTTTTTCTTTTATATCTAGTTCCCTTAAAATTGATGGACATATCTTTGTTTGTTAGAAAGTTTTTACAGGTAATGACCAACGTGAATTCAGGGACGCAACGGTCCCTGTTTGGGAATCGACCCACTGAGCAGTGGACTCAGGCCTCCCGTGCCAATCCTTGACGCGTTTCGTCCTTTTTAGGACTCATCAGAAGGACATAGGCTGAAGCTCCCTGTCCAAGCAAAATTGAACTTCGTTGACCAGTCAGAAACAACTACTCCGAGGGCAAATACCCCTACCGGCGTTGAACCACACTGATTGGTCTGAACTTTCGTTGGCAATGAAAATTGTTAGAAAGTTTTTACAGGTAATGACCAACGTGAATTCAGGGACGCAACCGTCCCTGTTTGGGAATCGACCCACTGAGCAGTGGACTCAGGACTTCCCGTGCCAATCCTTGACGCGTTTCGTCCTTCTTAGGACTCATCAGAATCCACTGCTCAGTGGGTCGATTCCCAAACAGGGACCGGCTTATGGAGTTCGTATGAAGTATAGCATGCTGAATGCTACTGTCCGTAACTGTTTTTTTTTTTTTTTTTTTTTTTTTTTTTTTTTTTTTTTTTTACATATATTAATTTACAAATTAAATTGTCGCCTTGAATGCTGACAGTGTGGTGACTGCCATTGTTGAAAGAAGGTTTCTACCGCCAATAATAATACCAACTATTAATCTAGACGGCACGCTTTTTCTTTAAATTTGAAGTACCAGTTTAGTACCAACACTTTCGGTTGGCTATTTTTTGAAGGAAAGCTCTGCTTGTTCAGCATGTCCTAAGGTCAAGCTTGTTCCATTCTTCTTCCCTTCTAAATTCTGACTTTCGACCTGAAAGGTTGATCCTGGCCTGGGGGCAGCCAACTTCCTTAGTCAAATATCGATTATCGTTCTCGTAGAAAAAATTTCCTTATCGGCCATCAGACACTAGTTTGACGAAATAAAGTTGCGTAAGGCAATGTTCCGTTAATTACCGAAAAATTCAACATCGAAAATCTGACTAGGTACCGTTTTATTCAAGTTTGAATTTCGAACTACGTCGTGGTTAATTTTTTTTTTTAAATAAGGGGTTTCTGCCGTCAATAATAACAGCAATTATTAACCTAGAGGGAACGCTTTTCCTTTAAATTTGAAGTACCAATTTAGTACCAACATTTTCCGTTGACTATTTCTCGATGGGAAGCTCTGTTTGATCAGCTTTTCCTAAGGCCAAACTTGCCCTATTCTTCGTCCCTTTTAAATTTTGACTTTCGACCTGCAAGGTTTATCCTGGCCTGAGGGCAGCCATCTTCCTAAGTCAAATATCGATTACCGTTCTCCTGGAAAAAAATACTTACCTTATCGGCCATCAGGCACTAGTTTGACGAAATGAAGTTGCGTGTTTCGGTGATTACCGAAAGATTCAACATCGAAAGTCCTGTGATTAGGTACCGTTTTATTCAAGTTTGAATTTCGAACCCCCTCGTGGGTTCTTTTTAATTTTTTTAAAAGTAATGGCTGTTCATGGAGTGCCTCTATTACTTAGGGTCTTTCGAGGAGCCCGTTTCCAACGAGTCCACATTTCTAGCCAAGCCCATTTTCGAGAAGCCCCATTTTTTCATGCAGATCATTTGGCTGGAGCATGGGCATAGAGCTTTTGGAGTGATTTTCTAGAGGAATTAATTCCCCCACGTGTCGACATCTATCCCTCAATATTTGACGGAAGCTGTGAATTTCTAGCCTTTATCTACCTTCATTCATGGCTAAAGTCTACAATTTCCATCTTCAAGAGACAGAAAATGGACGACTACCATACTCCAACTAAGGCTTGTATAGAGTTTAATTAGTAACCTTTAGCTTTTTTTTATGAAATCTATTTATAAACAATTACCATAATTAATTGAATTTTTTTCTGGCATGACATTTAAACAAAGAATAAGGTGTATAGTGCTTTTAAATTTTCAGAATTATAATTTCGCATTCTTGATACCGAAGTGACGGTTTTTTCCGATTTTTGATTTATCGAATTTAGTATTAATTTATCTTCAATTAAGTTTAAGTACTGCCATGTTTTAACAATGTATATTTTACTAAGCATTAATCTGAACTGAAGTCAAGGTTGGACAATATGTTCTAAATTTATATTTATTGAGTAGGTAAGTAGGTACCTACCATAGAGAAATATAATAAACCAAGGTAAGAGTACCTGATTGATAGCATGAAAGTTTGTATAGCGCTGACGTCACAGCGACGGTGGCGTCAATAGTGGCAGCCGGAACAAATACTGAAATGGCGGGAATTTTGAAATTTGACTTGAGTTGATTGCACAAAAAACTTACTTATGTTGTTCCACATCTTTTTTTCTCAAATCCGAATGAGAAAAATGATGTAGTACTCTATAAAGTTTTGTGCCATTTTTTGATGTAGATTGAAAAAAAAAGGCAAAATAAACACTAAAATTGTACTAGAGAAAATATATATTATAGCTATATAGGTCAAATACCTAAAGAGTTTACAAACAAAGTTATTACATCCCTTATACATGCTTTAATGTATGTACAAGCTAAGCTGGCCAAGGCCTAACATCTACATTTTATCTCTTCTGACTGAGGTCTCCTAAAACAGTAAAATAATATGCCATATATCACAAAACTAACATGTATACTTACTGGTTCAGTTTATCCTAGTTGTACATAATATTATAGGTACGCGATACCGAGTGCCTTAATAAAAATAACAATTTCTTCTTCTTGTTCTTTAGATTTTGTGAGTTCGAGTCTTCTTAGACGACCGCCCAATCCTTTAAAAATGACAAATTTCAACACGGAAATGTCGTTATTTTAAGGTTACTTATTTGTTTTCTCGGTCACAGTTTCTATAGTTATGGATGTTTGATAGGTTTCTACAAAACAGCTAGGAAAGCTCTGTAACTCATACGGTGTTCTTGTCTTGTGAATTGGTATGACAGAGAAAGATGAAACAGAATTGAATGATCGGACTAATCTTTCATTAGTCTCTAGCTTTCAAAAATTCCGCAATGCGCTATGCGCAACCGGATGCGCAGTAACAGTATAACCTATTTCGGCTATACTTTTGAAGGTCTTTTTATTTTTTATTGTCTATGGTACCTACATCATCAAAAATTGATCAATTTATCACCTGGGTTCTATAACTTATATATTTGAGAATTTCTGTTGTATTTCCTGTATACTTTCACCATTTTACCTAAATTTTGATTTCATATAGTTTTAATTTGATTTTATTGAATTTAATTTTTTCAAGCAGAAACTGACCTTATTTATCCGTAGGTACCTACATTACAAATTTCACTCATTCATTAATTTGCTTTTAAATTTTATTTTCTGGAAACTTAAAGCTTCCATGGTTTCATTTTTTGTTCAAGTTAATGATATGGCCAGCGACTGTTAAGTTAAATTAGGTGGCAACTATACTAGTGTTTATTGTAATATTATTTTTTAGTTTGGTGGATCTAATTGGGGGTTAAACCTCTATCCATTGATTCATTTCAACTGTTTTTCCATTCTACGAACTGTGAATTGAATTTGATATCACCGTGGAAATATACACTAATTTAATTTGAAAATTATTTGATTGTTATGTCAAGACTTGGTTGAGTTGTATGCCTTAAATTAAGTGGCGCCCTTGCCATTCTGTGCCTATTTAACTATTGACCCACCCCTAATAATTATTCGCTGACCTAACTGAGCATATTATGAGCCTCTATATAGTTAACTTGTTAATAAAAGGGGTTACAAAAGTTATACATATATTCATGGATTTCTATTGCTTTTCGTATGAGGCGACTATGATAATCTGAACCATGTGCAAAAAGTTCAACCTCCCCAAAAATTATGTGAATTCACTACGCGCGTGTCCCAATTTGCAGTTTCTTCGATGTTTCTTCCATCTGGTTACCCACCTTTATACATGTGCATAGGACACGGTGGTAACGTAAACAAGATTTAGTTCTCAAAGCCTTATCGATCGATGCACTGTTTCCGTTGATTGATGCACTCATTTCGTAAATTTTTTTAAACCACGCTTTCGACTATCAATGTGTGTGACTTTACGATACACTGTAGCTTGGTTCCATGGAACATCTTACTAGAATATCAGAAAGAACTATTTGTTGGGCGTTTCCAGCTTCTCCTACGAACTAATCCAGTTTCTTCCTTCTATGACTCCAAACAACGAACGTATGGTTCCGATAACTATACCGGCGGTTTGGGATCGATAACAGAGCGGCTCTGTCTATGTGCAAAGATCAAAATTTATTTATTTTTAGATTGAACATAAACAAAACGCAGCCATCAAATAGAAGTAGCTGAGGCATTTAGTTATTTGCGTCTGACAAATGAAACGAGAGAACTATTTCGGACATATTTCAACGAAGGGATGACACCATCTTGTGCTGAATCGTACCATGACACCTGAGCAAAGTGAAAATGACGAAAATTTTATTGTGACCTATTGCATAGAGCGTAAATAGTTTGTGTACTCGCATTAAGTATGCTTAGGAGCTGCCACACGTGCAGTTGATGCTCATTTACTACCTATACCACAATGTAGAGCTTACTCGCGCTGTATATG